TGCACTGCAATGGCCAGTCCAAACCCCTTGAAAATTTACTCGAAATGAAGATTCTTGCCAGAGAAAAGGTGCCACCACAGAAAGCTCTTTACTACCCAAGAAGTGCCCAGGCTTCCCCACCAACTACACCTCAAAGCCAAAGCTTCCAGACTTTTTTTCCTGGTGGAAAGAGCTGCTGTCTCATTTTTTCAGCCTTTCTCTGCAATGACCTGTACCACCTCCTGAAATTGAATCCAAATGACGATTCCTGCCAGACAAAAGGTGCCACCACAAAAACCTCTTACTGCCCAAGAAGTGCACAGACTGCCCCAACAACTGCACCTCAAAGTCAAAGCTTCCAGACTTTTTTTCCTGGTGGACAGGGCTGCTGTTCCCTTTTTTCAACCCTGCTCTACAATGGCCAGTCCCACCTCCGGAAAAATTGAATCCAAATGACGATTCCCGCCAGACAAAAGGTGCCACCACAGAATGGTCTTGCTGCCAAAGAAGTGCCCAGGCTGCCCCAACAACTGCACCTCAAAGCCAAAACTTCCAGACATTTTTTCCTGGTGGAAAGAGCTGCTGTTCAGTTTAATAAAGCCTGCACTGCAATGGCCAGTCCAAACCCCTTCAAAATTTACTCCAAATGAAGATTCCTGCCAGAGAAAAGACGCCACCACAGAAAGCTCCTCCTGCCCGAGAAGTGCCCAGACTGAAGAAACTACACCTGAAACCAAAACTTCCAGACTTTTTTTCCTGTTGGAAAGGGTTGCTGTTCTCTTTTTTTCAACCCTGAGCTGCAATGGCCAGTCCAAACCCCCTGAAAAATTGAATCCTAATGAAGACTCGTACCAGACAAAAAGTGCCACCATAGAAAGCTCTTGTTGCCCAAGAAGTGCCCAGGCTGCCCCAACAACTGCACCTCAAAGCCAAAGTTTCCAGACTTTTTTTCCTGGTGGAAAGAGCTGCTGTTCCCTTTTTTCTGTCCTGCTCTTCAATGGCCAGTCCCACCTCCTGAAAAATTGAATCCAAATGAAGATTCCTACCAGACAAAAGGTGCCACATCAGAAAACTCTTACTGTCCAAGAAGTGCCCAGGCTGCCCCAACAACTGCACCTTTAACCAAAGCTTCCAGAGTTTTTTTCCTGGTGGAAAGGGCTGCTGTTCCTTTTTTTCAGCCCTGCTCTTCAATGACCTTACCCACCTCCTGGAAAATTCAGTGTAAATGAAGATTCCTGCCAGACAAAAGGTGCCACCACAAAAACCTCTTTCTGCCCAAGAAGTGTCCAGTGCCCAGAAACTGCACCTCAAAACCAAAGCTTCCAGACTTTTTTTCCTGGTGAAAAGAGCTTCTGTTCAATTTCTTAAACCCTGCACTGCAATGGCCAGTCCAAACCACTTGAAACTTTACTCCAAATGAAGGTTCCTACCGGGGAAAAGGTGCCACCACAGAAAACTCTTGCTGCCCAAGAAGTGTCCAGGGTGCCCCAACAACTGCACCTGAAACCAAAGCTTCCAGACTTTTTTTCCTGGTGGAAAGAGCTCATGTTCCCTTTTTTCAGCCCTGCTCTGCAATGACCTGACTCACCTCCTTTAAAATTGAATGTAAATGAAGATTCCTGCCAGACAAACAGTGTCATTACAGAAAGCTCTTGCTGCCCAAGAAGTGCGCAGGCTGCCCCAAAAACTGCACCTCAAAACCAAAGATTCCAGACTTTTTTTCCTAGTGGAAAGGGCTGCTGTTCCCTTTTTTCAGCCCTGCTCTGCAATGGCCTGTCCTACCTCCTGGAAAATTTAATGTAAATGAAGATTCCTTCCAGACAAAATGTACCTCCACAGAAAGCTCTTTGCTGCCCAAGAAGTGTCCAGGTTGCCCCAATAACTGCCCTTGAAACCAAAGCTTCCAGGTTTTTTTCCTTAGGGAAAGAGTTGCTGTTCAGTTTAATAAACCCTGTACTGCAATGGGCAGTCCAAACCCCTTGAAAATTTACTCCAAATGAAAATTCCTGCCAGACAAATGTGCCACAAGAGAAACCTCTTCCTGCTCAAGAAGTACCCAGGCTGAAGGAACTACACCTGAAGTCAAAGCTAACAGACTTTTTTTCCTGGTGGAAAGAGCTACTGTTCCCTTTTTTCACCCCTGCTCTGCAATGACCTGACCCACCTCTTTTAAAATTGAATGTAAATGAAGATTCCTGCCAGACAAAAGGTGCCACCACAAAAACCTCTTGCTGCCCAAGAAGTGTTCAGGCTGCCCCAATAACTGCACTTGAAACCAAAGCTTCCAGACTTTTTTTCCTAGTGGAAACAGCTGCTGTTCCCTTTTTTCAACCCTCCGCTGCAATGGCCAGTCCCACCTCTTGAAAAATTGAATCCAAATGAAGATTCCTACCAGACAAAAGGTACCACCACAGAAAACTCTTCCTGCCCAAGAAGTGCCCAGGCTGCCCCAACAACTGTACCTGAAACCAAAGCTTCCAGACTTTTTTTCCTGTTGGAAAGAGTCACTGTTCCTTTTTTTCAGACCTGCTCTGCAATTGCTTGACCCACCTCCTGAAAAATTGAATGTAAATGAAGATTCCTGCCAGAGAAAAGGTGTCATTACAGAAAGCTCTTGCTGCCCAAGAAGTGCCCAGGCTGCCCCAACAACTGCACCTCAAAGCTAAAGCTTCCAGACTTTTTTTCCTGGTGGAAAGGGCTGCTGTTCCCTTTTTTCAACCCTGCGCTGCAATGGCCTGTCCCACCTCCTGGAAAATTGAATGTAAATGAAAATTGCTGCCAGAGAAAAGGTGCCACCACAGAAAGGTCTTTGCTGCCCAAGAAGTGCCCAGGCTGAAGCAACTACCCCTGAAGCCAAAGCTTGCAGATATTTTTTCCTGGTGGAAAGGGCTGGTGTTCCCTTTTTTCAGCCCTGCTCTGCAATGGTCGGTCCTACCTCCTGCAAAAATTGAATGTAAATGAAGATTCCTGCCAGACAGAAGTGCCACCACAAATACCTCTTACTGCCCAAGAAGTGCCCAGACTGAAGCAACTACACCTGAAACCAAAGCTTCCAGACTCTTTTTCCTGGTGGAAAGAGCTGCTGTTCCCTTTTTTCAGCCCTTCTCTGCAATGGCTGCTCGCACCTCCTGGAAAATTGAATCCAAATGAAGATTCCTGCCAGACAAAAGTTGCCACCACAGAAAGTTCTTCCTGCCCAAGAAATTCCCAGGCTGCCCCAACAACTGCACCTCATTTCCAAAGCTTCCAGACTTTTTTTCCTGGTGGAAAGATCTACTGGGTTTTTTTTCATCCCTCCTCCGAAATGGCCTGTCCCACGTGCTGAAAAATTCAACCGAATGAAGATTCTTACCAGACAAAAGGTTCCACCACAAAAACCTGTCACTGCCCAAGAAGTGCCCAGGCTGCCCCAAAAACTTAACCTCAAAGCCAAAGCTTCCAGACTTTTTTTCCTGGTGGAAAGAGCTGCTGTTCCCTTTTTTCAGCCCTGCTCTCCAATGGCCAGTCAAAACCCCTTGAAAGTTGAATCCAAATGAAGATTCCTGCCTGACAGAAGGTGCCACCACAGAAAGTTCTTGCTGCCCAAGAAGTACCCAGGCTGCCCCAACTACTCCACCTCATTGCCAAAGCTTCCAGACTTTTTTTCCTGGTGGAAAGAGCTGATCTTCCTTTTTTTCAGCCCTGCTCTGCATTCCCTTCTCCCACCTCCTGAAAAATTTTCTCAAAATGAAGATTCCTGCCAGACAAAGGGTGCCACCACAGAAAACTCTTCCTGCCCAAGAAGTGCCCAGGCTGCTCCACGAACTACACCTCAAATTCAAAGTATCTAGACTTTTTTTCCTGGTGGAAAGAGCTGCTTTTCCCTTTTTTCCTGCCCTGCTCTGCAATGATCTTTCCCACCTCCTGAAAAATTTACTCCAAATGAATATTCCTGCCTGACAGAGGGTGCCACCACAGAAAGGTCTATCTGCCCAAGAAGTGCCCAGGTTGCCTCAACAACTGCACCTCATTGCCAAAGCTTCCACACTTTTTTTCCTGGTGGAAAGAGCTGCTGTTCTTTTTTTTCAGCTCTGCGCTGCAATGGCCAGTCCCACCTGTTGGAAAGTTTACTCCAAATGAAGATTCCTTTTTGACAAAAGGAACCACCACAGAAAGTTCTTTATGCACAAGTAGTTCCCAGGCTGCATCAACTACACCTGAAACCAAAGTTTCCAGACCTATTTTCCTGGTGGAATGGTCTGCTCTTCTCTTTTTTCAGCCCTGCGCTGCAATAGCCAGTCCCACATCCTGAACAATTCAATCCAAATGAAGATTCCTCTCAGACAAAAGGTGCCACCACAGAAGGGTTTTTCTGCCCAAGAAGTGCCCAGGCTGCCCCAACAACTGCACCTCAAAGCCAAAGCTTCCAGACTTTTTTTCCTGGTAGAAAGAGCTTCTG